TGTTTGACGATTTTTACTGAATTCAATTGGCGGCTGGTGGATTTTGGGCACACCCATATCTCAGTTATTAGACATGGGACCCACATCAAATTTATATGAGTTTATAATGACATTCTGTAGACAAGTTCTGCGCAAGCAGAATTTAAATTAAAGTTTGCGAAAAAAAGTTTTTAAGTGCAACCCCCAGCCTCCTACCCCTCCAAATTAAGATAATTCAAATTAAAGTGGTACAATATTTAATTCACTGAAGTTTATCGACAAATTTCAAATTTTATTAAAAAAAATCAAGAATTACAGGATTTAAACCATTTATAATTTTTATTATTTTTTTACTAAATTTAAAAAAATTTGAAATGGTATAAAATCTGTAATACTTGAATTTTTTTAATAAAATTTGAAATTTGTCGATAAACTTCAGTGAATTAAATATTGTACAACTTTAATTTGAATTATCTTATTTTGGAGGGGCACTAACCCCCCGCCCACCCAACCAATCCCTTGTCTATGGAGGGGCAGGGACTGGGGGTTGCACATAAAAACTAACTTTTTTCGCAAACTTTAATTTAAATTCTGCTTGCGCAGAACTTGTCTATATAATGTCATTATAAACTCATATAAATTTGATGTGGGTCCCATGTCTAATAACTGAGATTATTGAAATGTTTACACTTTTCACGTTAATCACTACTAAAATGTGTATTTATTGTATCTAATAGGTACAATTTATATTTACAGAGACTGTATGCAATTTATTTCTTCATTCAGATTAACACTGTTTATTGGAAAACCAGTAAAAACTCAACCCAGGATTTCCTCTTTAAATACACAACTACACAACAAATCGATCCTAATCGAGGCTAATTTTGTGTTATTTTCAAAAGATAATAAACTATATATGGTATTTATGTTTTAAATTATGATACACAAAATAAGATGAAATAAGGGTTTAACTGACAGATAAATAACCTGAATTATTTGTATTTAAATGTCAAGGTGGGACTTTTAGGTGTGGATCATAGTTCATTGGTAATAATGATAATAATCTTTAACTCTTTTTAAATATTTAATTAGATAAAATCTGTAAAATCTTTAAGAAATTAACTAAAAGTATGAATTCAAAGGATTTTCGTTTTCATAAATTGGTCATTAATTTTTCAGCTTTTATGATAACGGCGAAGTTAAAGATAAATTTAAGAAAGCTTTCGTTTATCGAAGGTAAAAAACAAGGACCACTTCAGAATATAAATTCTCTCGTGAAACATTTTTCTTTTTATGTATTAAGTATTAATCGATCTTTAGAATTAAATTTTTTTTAATACGCTAAGGAACCAGCTGTCAAACGAGTATATTACATGTTTTTGAGAATGAGGCCAGAAAATGTTATAAATTTGAAAAAAAAAACCTTAGCACGATTTGTTGTGTTGTTGGGTGTATTTTGAAAAGAAATCATGGGTTCAGTTTTAATAATTTTTTGTGTAAAACTTGAATAGTAACCTTAAACAAGCACGTATTTTAAATGCACAAATATTGTATACTTTATTTTCTAAAATTTTCTCAAAATGTAACGGGTGCGACATTTGAACATTTTATCGAGTATTGAAACTCTACCGTGTTTATTCTTAATGTTAGCTTCTTGGCATGTTTATTCTTAATGTTAGCTTCTTGGCATCACAATGTACGAATATTTTAAGGGTGTAGTTGTTATTTTGTTAAATAACACATATGATTTCTTGTCAATGTGGGGTAAGGTTTCGTGGAAATACCCTCCTTTGGCAAAACGTGAAAATGCAACGATTTAGTTCTTCAATTTTATTTACAATTAAAAACACAATAATTCACCATGTTCACTTAGATAAAATACACACACTAACGTAACTATATACGCATATAAGCTTTGAGTTTCTAAATCAATGATATAAGGAATAATAAAACAAAATGGAGCACTAAACAGAAGTTTTTTAGTTTTTACTTGCAACGCGAAACACAAAATTTATTACGTTATTTAATAACGTGCGCGATTTAGCTGTGCAATTGAAACTTTGGCAAACAAAATTTGTCAAGTAAGACTTCTGCCTTCCTCTCTTTTGTGAAAAAACTACTTATCTATTTGTATCACGTTTTAGCTGCATGAAATTACTCTATTGGTGGATAAAACTGTATTTGAAGAACCTATTAAAATAGAAATATCAGTTTTTCAAAATTTGCTTTATGTACTGCAATACATTTGCTCATTCTTGTTAAATAATAATGCACGAGCAAAGATTTCGAGCCAGTGTTTAATAAAAACGAGTGTTTTTAAGTTTATAAAATTAGTTGCATACTATACTTTACCTACGACGAACGGAAAGAAAAATGTAAAGCCCATTTTAGTTGTTTAATAGCCCGTGACTAAAATGCCTAAAAGCTACTATTGCTAACTTCAGCCCGTGACTTAAACGCTATAAAGTCATAGGTCGTCAATAAAGGAGTAGATAATAGTATATTATATATCAAGTTTGATAAATGCCATTTTAGTCACTGTACGAACGAGCTTGCGAGCGGGTGTTTAATTAAATGAGTGTCCAGTGCAAAAGTTTATAAATTAGTTGCATACTATACTTTTATTCTTATCTAAAATGATTTAAATTAAGTATTTGTAAAGAAGGACATCTATAAAACCATTCTTGGGCATTTCAAATTTTAATGTGCAAATCGAAATGTATCCCTTAAAAATGGACCGTTTAAATTTGATATATAAGCAGTTTTTTACAGTGAAGTGATTGCTCGTACCAATGTACTTATTAAATCACCTTTACATAACTTTAATAAAATATCAACTAATTGTGATATTAACTATTGTTCATTAAAAACTATTCAAAGGACCATTTTAAATTCTAATGATGTATAAATCTGAGTGAAAGTTTAGTTATAAGTTTGTTCACATTTTTTTAAATATTTTTTTTGTAAACCTCTTTGTTATATAATATGAATGTCCTACTATGGTGTAAACTGTTGGGCAATAAACTCTATTATTATTATTATTATTATTATTATTAAAATGTTTTATGGGCACTCCACGGTGAAGTCTTCACCCGAAATTAAGTTAAATCTAGTTTAATGCCGGCGAAATTAAAAGGTCAGTAAAATGTTCACATAATCTTTTCAAATATTGGCGTTGAGAAACCATTTAATGCTTTTGTATTGAGATAACAAAATATTTTTCTCTACAACCAAGCGAAAAGTACAAATTTGGGCTTCCAAAAGAAAGCGCAAAGTTGCACTTTTCCGAGGAGCGAGCGTTTTTTTTACTTTGTCGCTCGCCAAGCGACAAAGTAACCAAAACTCTCGCTTAGTAACCATGGAAACCATTATAAAGAAACGTTGAGTGTATTTGCGACTTTTGACACAAATTGAGTCAAATTTGAGGTTATCAATAATTATAAATTTTTACCAAACATTCTTAAATAACCACCGGTTGTATAAAAAATCATGTGTGTAATTCGAGCGCAAAGTGACATTGCCGCTCTCGCGCGTCAAACTTCTCGCTCAGAGCGGAAATGTATCACTTTGCGCTCTTAATACACAAATAACTAAACTGCGCACCACTCAATGTGTCGCGACCAAAAATTTCGTCCTTTTTCAAAACGACATAACTTTTTTGTTTCTTGAACGATTTTATTTTAGTTTGTGATGTCTGCTAGCCCCATTCTCTGGCAGTTCATGCTATTGATATCAAGCAACAAAAATATGGATGAATTGGTAAATTCGATTCAGGAAGAATGGGTAGCCATACCCAGGAAATTTCGGAGGAACTTGGTCAAAGGAATTCCCAGGAGGCTTAACGAATTATTACGGGTTAGGGGAGGGCCAACGAAATATTGAAAGTTATTATTGTTATTGTTTGTTACATTTTTCTGTTGAATGTTGTAGTTTTGATAATGATTATATCTTCGAATAAAATTTTCAAAAATGAACAAAAAAATGTTGTATTTAACTTTATTACCAATTAGGTAGGTAATAGGTTATCACTATTGCGCAATATAAAAGTAATTTAAGTAACATTATCCTAAGTAATTTCGCCCAAAAAATGAATCCCCAAATGGCATTGCCAAAGGCATGTTATTGAGACATTTAACAGCCGGGAATTGTTTTCGAATTTTGATTCTTGGTGTTTTATCTAAAACTTAAATTTGACAACTGACTCAAATCAGGAGGTTAAAATTATAAAGAAAACATGTCACAAACGTAAATATCGTTTCAGGTTTAGTTTTAGCAAATTTTCATCAAAATGTCATTTTGAAAAAGAGGTCTTTGCTTAGGTTCCTCTGAAAAGTTTGTTGCTTGTCGCTTGTTCAGAATTATTCAAGGAACAATATTTCACCATCTTATCTTTTTGTTCTTAAAAAGGCTGAGTGTATTGCCTACAAAAAAGCATCAAATGTACCTACTCTTTTGAAAAAAAAAATCATATTTTTGTTGCTAAGATTCCAATTCGAAAAATTTGAAAAAAGTTTCAAGGTAAAACATAATACTTCATTATTTCAAAGTAAAAACGAGACCAAAATATTTATTTTACAAACGGGGCTTGGATGAAGTTATTGAAATTTTTCAACGTTTAATTTACTTGAAGAACCGTGAGCTTCATATCTATAGCATGAATTTCCAGAGAATAGGGCTAGCTGACATCACAAACCAAAATAAAATCGTTCAGGAAACAAAAAAAGTTATGTCGTTTTAAAAAAAAGACGAAATTTTTGGTCGCGACACATTGAGTGGTGCGCAGTTTATTTACATTTAGTATTATTTTACAAGAAGGGCACTTTATTTTATTGATTGTATGAGATTAGACTACTGTCAACTAACTTAAAACCAACTTCAGCGCGTGACCAAAAACCGTGACTCCATAAAGCCACAACTTGTCAATGTGTATTTAAAAGATCACTTAGTGTCGTGTAAACATGTACGATAATGGGCGTTTTAAAGGTGGGATTAGGAAAAGTGAATTAAACAGTTTTTCTTACCACGTCGATGAGCTGCGAGAGCCGCAAGCCCATTTTGACGGTGAGCCGATCGGAGTTGTTGCCGACCGGCCTGATGAGCCGGTTGTAGTTGGAGAGGAGGTCGTCGTAAAGGCGCTTGGCGTCCGGGTTCGCCCAACATGGGGGACTCAATCCGCCCAACACCAGCCACGATACGGTGAGCCACAGCTCCATTGCAGCCCACTGAGAAAAGAGAAAAGGTTTTTATTCATTCTGATAATGGTATACGCATATGTATTGAAAAAATTTAAAATATGAAGCACTAAAATCAAAAACTACGACATTTTGATGTTCTTCAACCTTTGTATATTTTGATGCCCAGAGAACCATGGTTTGGGAAAGAAATTAGTCAACTTTTTCCCAAAGAAAAATTGAAATATTTTATGCCAATCATTTCCCAACGCGATAGCACAAAAACTGCATGCAAATAAAGACTTACTCTGTTCAAAATTTCATGAACATTGTAACACCAAATTAACACTATACATGGTCTATATCGATACAAACCAAAATGGTGTTAAATATGGTTCGTTGGTCCAGTGTAAATTCAAATACTAAAATGGTGTAAATTTAACTTTCACACAGTATTAAAATAAATTTTACCTGGTGTAAATTGAACTCCTTTTCAGTGTTAAATATAATGTGTTTTTGGTCAAATTAAATCATACTACACAGAAAAAATGGAAAAAAAGGAAACAGGAAGTTCCTTGGCGCATTACAAGTATATTACCAGTTGTATTATTCCAGAAAATTGAACCTTCAACTCGCTAGAGATAATGTTTTTAGTGCGCTCCACCAACTTAAAATACTTCAAATATTGACAGCTGTTTCCACCTATTTAATGTCTCTTTAGTATCGAACAACTTGTAGTGTCACACCAAAGCAAAGGACTACCTGAGCTTATATACTCTTCATGTAAGTCAACAGGGGCGAGAATTAAGAACATCACGTGATCCACACAGCCTTTGCCGCGATCGGTACACACTATGCAACAAGGAATGCACAGCAAATTGTTTTAATCGTTTTAACAGAGTGCTTTAGGTTGAAGTAACTCTTATTTTACAAACAACATATTTAGTAAACTGAACCATACACTAAAGTTTTCTGGGTTAATTTAACCAATTTAAAAAAAAATAACTATCTGGTTTAGTACCGTCAAACTAATCTTTGTTTATATTAACCTTCCCACAGTTGATTTAAATAAATACTTATGGGTCAACTAAATTAATATAGTTAAATGAACTAAGTATTCCCTGTAGGTGCACTTCTCAAATATTTTTAGATAAACACCGTTTTGGTGTTTGCTGTATAAAACATTTTCAACCATAATTCATGGTGTTATATTAACACCACTTGGTGTTGGATTTTGACACCATTTTAAGATTACTCTTCACATCACAGATATTTTAAACAGTGTATTTGTAGTAGAGGTATTTTTGGCAAACTTCGTTTGTAATGAAGTTTGGTCGAAAATTGGCAAAGCGTTTGTAATGCAGATTGATCAAAACTTGGCAAATAATTAATCAGCATAAAAAAGAATCAGCTTACTATGCACAATAGCTAGTTATAGATCGTAAAAAATAAATTTATTTCAAGACCTTTTCTAAAAAAGGCGTTAAAAGTGCTTGTGTGAAAGTTATTACAAAAAAATGTAATCATTATTGTTAAGTTTTAAACGGCTTTAAATTTTGAGTAGGTAAGTAATTAGGGTTATGTTTTCAAGTTTTTTATAAATAATTCAATTATTATACAATTTCTTATGTACGAAGTTTGTTATTCCCTCGTTATGTACTTATCTTTTTGTTTATTGTTACAGATTTTCATCTCGTTGCATAAAGTTGCAATGAAGAAAAATAATTGCCTCTTTCTATAGATAGCACACAAAGTCTTGAAGATGTCTTTTGTATGTCTGTATTATGCCTGAACGCAGTGGCGGATCTAGGGGGGGGCAAGCCGGGGCCCATGCCCCGGGCGCCAAGTTCAGAGGGCGGCCAAATTCACACTTTACAGACGAATGACGAATGGACAACTCATCATTTACTTAACTTTGACTACAGAATAAATAATAGTACAAGTACAGAAATTTCACTCTTGTTTTACTGTGGCCATATCAACTCGACCGATACCCAGGGGTACATCACACGTGAGCTGTACCACGTGACCGGGCGCGGCGAGAGCGCGGAGTGATACGCGCTTCACGAACATTTTTATTCGCGAGGCGCGTAGGCATAGTTCAAAATACGCGCCCGCTCGCCCGCAGGAATCCCAGATCGAGGCAGCACGCGTCTGGTTACCGTGCGTGCGAAAGGGATGAAGCATATATTTATTAGGTTTATAAAGAACTGTCCACGCCTCTCACTTTCATCTATTTCATTCCAAACTGTGGGCTATATTAAAAGCGCTGTTATGCGCAAGCGTCACTAAACAGCAGTGTTTAATTTATTAAAAATTTTACATGTATGTTTTTACTGTAAAAATTTTACACATAAAATATTGATATTTTCTATAAAATAACTTTGTAATTTAATAATTATAAGAACATACAAATTAAATTTTAACTTTCTAAATTCTTCAAGTAATATTTTTTTAAAATTATGATAAAAATCTCATATAAACTGCGCACCACTCAATGTGTCGCGACCAAAAAGTTCGTTCTTTTTCAAAACGACATAACTTTTTTGTTTCTTGAACGATTTTATTTTGGTCTGTGATGTCTCCTAGCCCCATCCTCTGGCAATTCATGATATAGATATGAAGCTCAATGTTCTTCAAGTAAATTTCCTACAGGGTGATATGTTAAACATTGAAAAATTTCAATAACTTCATCCAAGCCCCGTTTGTTAAAAAATATTTTTTTTCTCGTTTTTACTTTGAAATAATGAAGTATTATGTCTTACCTTAAATCTTTTTTCAAATTTTTCGAATTGGAATCGTAGCAACGTAAATATGATTTTTTTTTAAAGAGTACATTTAAGGCTTTTTTGTAGGAAATTTAAATTACAAAAAAATTTAAAACCTTTTCAAGGTAAGACATAATACTTTATTATTTCAAAGTAAAAACGAGAAAAAAAATATTTTTTTACAAACGGGGCTTGGATGAAGTTATTGAAATTTTTGACCGTTTTACATATCACCCTGTACGAAATTTACTTGAAGAACCGTGAGCTTCATATCTATAGCATGAATTGCCAGAGGATGGGGCTAGCAGAAATCACAGACCAAAATAAAATCGTTTAAGAAACAAAAAAGTTATGTCGTTTTGAAAAAGGACGAACTTTTTGGTCGCGACACATTGAGTGGTGCCCAGTTTATTTTAAACTTTATGAAAATCTGACCACAACAGCTGATTATAGTACTTGCTAATAGCAAGTTGCTATATATATATATATATATATATATATATATATATATATATATATATATATATAGCTGAAATTATAAAGATGATAAAGGTAAAAATAAATATAAGTGGGCGGGGGCGGCATTTTTCAGTTTTTGCCCCGCCTAAAAAAAATTGAAGATCCGGGGCTGCCTGAACGTCTGAAGATCTAAAAAAGACTTCTGTAAGACGTCTTAAAGATATCTTCATTTAATGTTCTAAAGACATCTTATAAATGCCTCATACTAAGATATAATTGGGTACCATCTTATTTTGGTGTAATAGAAACCTTATTAATGTACTCTCTAAAAATGAAATAGTCAAAATTCTTTTATTTGAATTAGTCCCAGCATTTTTTAATAATAAAATAGTCGTTTTTATTTTTAAATAATTATTTTTTACTACGTAAATAGTTAAAGTTTGACTAATTTAAGATTAGTCACCATCTTTGACTATTTCTGACAGTTAAAAGTAACTAATTTCTTTAATCGTTTGCGGCCAACAACAAAGTATTATTTGAATCAAATGCATATACCTAAGCTCCATAGTTAAATGACCCATAAAAATACCATAACACAAATAATATATTCAACTTTAAAATATTACGAACAATATTTATTGACAAATAAAATTGATTTTTATAAAAAGATAATTGTCATTTAGTCAACCACAGTCTTTTGCCAATATCGGTTTTAAAAAACACCATGTACTAAATTTGTATATATGGCAGAATTTTTTGTTAAATTAAATAAAAGCATAAGAAGTAAAGGTGGATTAAGCCAGCATTTAATATAATGTAAAGTAACGTAACTTAATTTAAATTACGTTTAGTTAAATTAAATACTATTTATAAACCACAATTTTGTTTTAAACTGGTTTATTCATATTAATTAAAAATTGTCCAGACCTAAACTAAATTGAAATTTATTTTAATAATTAAAAATAACAAACATAATAAATATCGTTAAATAAAATACAATTTGTTACAAGCATTATCTGCATCGTTAATTTGCTTTGTTTTATTAAAATTTCATGATTTATATTTGTAATGGAATTATTTAAATTAATATATTGTTATATCAAGAATTATAGGAGTAATATTACATTTAAAATAAAATTTTAATTAAATATTTAAACGTTTTAACATCAAAGTAATACTTAGTTTGTTTATATCATTGGGCCTAGAAGTGGGCCTTTTTGTGCTTGGCCTATTTGTATTCAACATTTTTCTTCAAGGCACAGTTTTATTTGTCAAACGATACATAAAAAGTACAATTATTAAAAGTAAAAAGTGACGTTAGATCGATCTGACTAAATACCGACGCCTAAGCCACTGGCGAAAAGAAAACGAACTAATTACTGGCTTCATAAAAGTTTTTACGTGCCTAGGCAATAATCAAACACCAAAGTGAGGAGATAATAAACTTTAGTTTTTAGTTTATTTTATTTATAAATGTAGAAATCATTTTTCCTTGTGATTTAAATGGCGAAAACAGAAAAAAAACAACTTATCGTCGGGTTTTCGAATGATTTTTTTTTAAATGGCATGTTAAAACCTGTTCTTTTAAAACATGTTAAAATTAACATATTTTAACATTTAGAAAGTTTAAGTGCTTATTAATTTTTTATTTTTAAGTTAAGGGTAGTTAAGCAATTTTTTTTTCCATAAATTGTCTTTCAAAATATGTAAAAATATACAGTGTGTTTTATTTAAAAAAAAATATTTTTGTAAATCTTTCGAAAACCCGACGTAATTGTTTTTCTGTTTTTATCAATTTGGTAGACCCAATAATTACGAAGTTAG